AAAAAAAAGGAAAAAAATGTGAATAAATTAAGTTTAAAAACTAAATTAAAAAATAAAAAAGTAAAAAAAAAAAAATTAAAAAAATTAAACATTCTAGGTTTTTTTCACTGCTGTTTTTTAAATAGGAATTTTAAGTCCTCTGTGCTTGTCTGTTTGCTAGGAGCAGTTTGAGACACTGTTACTGTTTTGAAATGCATGCATGTTACAAGATGAGTCTCCAACCAGAGAAAAATAAAATTAAAACTTTGTGTACACCTGTGCCTCCCTGCTGTGCTCTTTGCTGTCATCAGCCAGGTAAGTGTCCCACATGGGGCAGCACAAGGGGGGGGACGCTTTAAACTGCCAGAGGGAAGGAATTCCTCCTCCCTGGGAGGGTGGGCAGGCCCTGGCACAGGATGGCCAGAGAAGCTGTGGCTGCCCCAGCCCTGGAAGTGTCCAAGGCCAGGTTGGACGGGGCTTGGAGCAACCTGGGCTGGTGGAAAATGTCCCTGCCCATGGCAGGGGGTGGCACTGGATGATCTTTAAGGTCCCTTCCAACCCAACACATCCCATGATTCTTCGAACCACAACTGGAGAAGGCTTTTTTCCAGGGCCTGTGGAATGGGGGCTTAGGTAAGAACCGATTTTACCAAGTCCTGGCTGCCAGAACAAGTGGATTTGTGCCGCTCCACGAGCTGCAGCTCAGCCCTTCACGTCCGGGGGCACTGAGGGAATCGCTGCAGGTGGCTCAGAGGGAAAGGTGAGCTCTGCTCCCACCCAAAACCTGAGCTCCTCCTCGTGGCTTTAGGGAGGAGAACTCGATCCTCGTGTTCAGAACCAAGCAAAGGAAAGTTCACTCCAATCCAGAGATTTATTTTAAAAAGTCCCAGGAGGGGTGTGACACAGGAGCAGCTGTGCTGGGCTAGTCCATGCGAGCCTTCAGGGTCCTCGTGGTGATCTTGTCTTTCTCTCTAGAGGGGGAAAGACAGAAGATTATTAATAAATCCATGTTTGGTCCCCACATCCAGCTTGTCCCCCCCTTAGGAAGCTGCAGGAGCACAGGTAGGCTGCACTAGTGCAGGCAGGGGCACCTGAACTTAGGGTGGCTGTGACAATGAGTAAACCCCCTCCTCCTCCTCCCCAGGGGAGCTCCCAGGTTTGGGGTGCCTGGGATGCTGCAGGGAAGTAAAATAAGCTGTTTCAGGAGCAGTTTAGTTGCAGAGCTGGGAGTCAACACTGCACCCAGGGGGAATGCAGCCAGGGAATCCCTGGGCAGCAAGAAATCTGCCTCCAGGATTCGCTTCTCCTGCAGTTCAAGCAACAGCCACTCAAATAAAGACACTTAGAATGAGCAAAGCATTTCTACAGGCACTGGTGGAAGGGAGCAGGGTCAGGGATAGCCTGGAAAGCAATCCCTTCAGTGAACTGAGTGCAGAGCCTGTCCAATTCTCCCCCTGTTCCATGGGGAGCAGCACTTACATGATGTGAACCACCACGCCCATCCCAGATATGGCATCTCTGTCCACAGCGTTCAGCATGGCCTGGGAGATCGTCTCAAAGAGGTGGTCGGGCTCCTGGGGAACAGAAACAGCACAAGTTGGGCTAAGCACTGCATGGATTTGGTCCAAAGCCCCAACTGTCATCCAAGACCCTGCAGGACTTTTCCCTCAGGCTGTTAGACCCTCTTCTCCCGAGCATCCTTCAGGATGGAGCTTCCCACGTATCCCAGTTCCCCAGGGAACACAGGAGGGTGAGTCCACGGATCCCAGCTGGTCCCAGCCCTGGCTCACCATGTCTGGCTCCCAGAGGGACTCGCACATCCCGTACATCTGCTCGGAGCAGGTGCCGCTGACCACGAAGTCGTCGGTGACCATGGGGCAGCCGATGAGGTCCAGGGAGCAGATGAAGGGCTCGTGTGTCACGGGGTCCAGCCCGGCAATCACGGGCTCTGTGTAATAGGGGCCAAACCTGGGGGGAGAACAGATGGGAGGGACCCCCAAGGATCATCCTCAGCCCTCCCTGACAGGGGACAGGGAACAGGATCTGCCTGGGAGTTACCGTCTCTCGTAGAGCAGGTTGGAAACCATGCTCATAAAGGTCTGGGGCTTGATCTGCCTTCCCTCCTTCAGCTCGTAGAGATTCAGCCTGAACTTCAGTCTCTGGGCACTGCAAGAGATGAGAACTGGGATTAAAACAAGGCAGGCTGGTTTTCCTTTGCCCTCCACCCAGGCCTGAGCTGTTCTGCTGCTGACAGACACCAGCACCTCGAGGCAGGTGGTGCACACACACAGCCCTTCTTATATCCCAAGTTAAATTTTAGGAGTGATGTGGCCTTAAACCACATGCAGGTTTACTTAAAAAGCTCTCACAGAAGGGAGGCCAAAACCAGAAGTGCTGGCATCTATTACATTACATTAATTATACATGTTATCCCCCTCCTTATGAACACACACAGATATTTACACCCAGTACGAGCTGCCCCTCGGCATTAATTGTAAATAAATGGGAACCCGGGGCCGGGAGGGCCT